AAGAACTTCACCTTGAAAGGGAACGGGAAGAAAGATTACAAGATTTAAGACTTATGGACTGATAGCTGTATTCATAAATATATGTGAATGAAAGGTTAACTAAAAAGAACAGTGCTCCTGAGACAAAGAATTTCAGACTATGCCCCTCTTTTCACAGACAGAGGGATCATTGAACTGTGTTCCCAGCATAATCCTCAATTACTTGGAAAGCTTAGCTAACCTACACCTGGGTCATCTCCAACTGGTCTTGTTAGCGGAGGTATTCATGTAACCACAGGATAATATCATGCTATTATAAAAAGACACTTGGGTGTTTTATCTTATTTTAGAAATAAGTAAAACACTCATAACAAACTACGATTTTACTCATTAACTTTAAGAAATCTATAACAATGAAGAACTGTTGGAACTATATCATTTTCTAAACTTGAGAACGCTATTAGAAAATGAAATTTTCACTAGAAATCACAACACTCACACTAAGGACATTTAAAATTATTCTATACACATGTGGACAACTACTTTAAATCACAGAAAGCACTTACCTTTAAATTGAAACAATTTGGGAGAGACTGGCAGAATACTGTCATTTTATAAAAAGAAAGGGTAAAGTTTGAGTACATTTTTGGCACTAGAACCATATAAGAAGATGTAAACAGGTAGTCTGAAATGGTCAATATGTGTCTGTTACTGTTAGGATCACGGTAAAGAACTGAATGGGCCTGACCTCTCACAAAAGGACCCTTTGTTTCATTGGTCAGACATGGCACAGTCAGGTGCAGACTTTGGTCTGGCTCAGGGCAACACTTTTCATATTTCTTTTTTTTTTTTTTTTTTTGGAGACGGAGTTTCGCTCTTGTTACCCAGGCTGGAGTGCAATGGCACGATCTCGGCTCACCGCAACCTCCGCCTCCTGGGTTCAAGCAATTCTCCTGCCTCAGCCTCCTGAGTAGCTGAGACTACAGGCACGCGCCACCATGCCCAGCTAATTTTTTTGTATTTTTAGTAGAGACGGGGTTTCACCGTGTTGACCAGGATGGTCTCGATCTCTTGACCTCGTGATCCACCCGCCTCGGCCTCCCCAAGTGCTGGGATTACAGGCTTGAGCCACCGCGCCCAGCCACTTTTCATATTTTTTAAGGAAAAGATCAAGAGAGCAAAGGTTCCTACTGAGGTTTCCATTTACTTAAGGACACAATTACATTGCATGCTTTAAGAAGGACAGATTGCTGGGGTGGGGGTTGGGTGGTGGGGCAGTGGGTGGGAAATGACTGAAGGGGGTTAAAGTGGAGCTTCTGGGAGAGCTGGTACTGTTTTTCCTTGATTTGGATGCTGATCAGTTTGTGATGGGTGTGTTCGCTTTGTGAAAAATACATTGAGCTATACATGTATGAGATAGGCACTTTTGTCTGTGGGTATTACAGTTTTTTTAAAGCAATAAAGCAAGGCCGGGCGCGGTGGCTCAAGCCTGTAATCCCAGCACTTTGGGAGGCCGAGGCGGGTGGATCACGAGGTCAAGAGATCGAGACCATCCTGGTCAACACGGTGAAACCCCGTCTCTACTAAAAATACAAAAACATTAGCTGGGCATGGTGGCGCGTGCCTGTAATCCCAGCTACTGAGGAGGTTGAGGCAGGAGTATTGCCTGAACCCAGGAGGCGGAGGTTGCGGTGAGCCAAGATCGCGCCATTGCACTCCAGCCTGGGTAACAAGAGTGAAACTCCGTCTCAAAAATAAATAAATAAATAAATAAATAAAGCAAACCAAAGGTTTAAAGTATAAAATTTTGTGCTATAATTCTGAATTTCTGACATGCCTCAATGTCATATAGGGTAGAAAATGTTTTCCAAATAGGTTAATATAGTATAAAACTTTAAGTTATATCAGTTGGAAAAATCAAAATTTCAAGCTTTTTTTTTTTTTAAGGACAGGAAAAGTTAACATGTAAGTTCATGTTTTAACTACAATGGAAATCATGGAAACAGCAGTAGGGGGTGGGAAGGGCATTAAATACAAAGATCTAAGTGCTGCTTTCCAAGCCTTAATCTAATCACACATGGCCTAAGCGTGGCGCCCAGTGAATGTATTTTATAGTCTACCTGTAAAATGGAAAAATAATATTAGCAATACCTATCTCAGAGGATTTGTGTTAAGATTAAAAAGATTATTTACAGAGAAAAATCACATATGAACAAATACTATATATTTGTATATAAGTATAAATGATTTTGTAAAGGCCCTTCCATAAAAAGTAAGATAGAATTCCTAGTGTGCATTGAGGACTGCTGAAAAACAAAAAGTTTGGACTATTTTCCCATAATGTCCCAGATCTTATCACTAGAAAATAGCTCGTTCAAAACATCCACTTATTTGTTATTGTGAGCCAGAAGCCCAGCATCTAGGCCAGTGAGGGAAGAGCGAGCCATGGGAACTGTGGAGAAGGGGGCCCAGCCTCAGCTCAGCTTCAGATCAGTGTTCCCAGAGCGCAATGCTCCCAGACTCAGGCTTTCCAAAAGTCTGAGAAACGTTATTATTATTTTTTGAGACATGGTCTGGCTCTGTCACCCAAGCTGGAGTGCAGTGGCACAATCACAGCTCACTACAGCCTTGACCTTCAGGGCTCAAGTGACCCGACCACCTCAGCCTCTTGAGTAGCTTTGACTACAGGGCACACCTCACTATGCCTAACTAATCTTTTAATTTTTTTGTAGAGGCAAGTTTTTATCATGTTGCCAGGCTGGTCTTGAACGCTTGGCCTCAAGCAATCCTCCGGCCTCAGCCTCCCAAAGTTCTGGGATTACAGGTGTGAGCCACCATGCCTGGCTTGGAAATATTTTATAAATGTAAAATCTCCTGACATTTCAATGCTGGCGACCAATATGATTTTTTTTAAAAATCACCGCACCAAACAAAATAAGTCTGCAGTCCAGACTGCACCCATGGATTGCCAGCTTTGATCTCCAAATTCTTGGCCGATAATGATACTACTTTATAATCTCTTAAACTCTTTCTTCTTTCTAGGCACCACTCCCTTATGTTATTCCTAATCCTGTATTTTCACCACTGAATATATTCCAGTTTGAATTCAGAGTATAGAATATCTTGCCGGTAGGCAATTTTATTCTCATTTTCAGATTTATTCTTTACTATTTCCCCTCTTTTTCCTTAGAAAATTTATTTTCTTGCTGTCCATAAACAAATGCATGATCCACAACTATACCTTATGTGCTAATTATTTATTTTGATAACAAGGTTAGGACACAGAGGGAAATGTTGTTCAGTGACAGAACACATACCTGAATTTTAGGCTAATCACGAGTGTGATCAGCTTTTCAATACATTTTAAATATTTAGGGGCATTTACTGACTAATGTATGGTGTGTAACAGTTTCATTCCGCCTTATACTTAAGCATTACCATTATTGCAATCTACTTTATTTCCACAGATCTATTTCTATAAGCCAATTCATATTTTGCTATTATGTTACATTAAATAAAAGTCAGGTTCACAGGACTAAACTCATGCACATCAGTCAGTGACCTGAAGATTCATGAGTGCAGCTTTGCACCTACCTTGGTGTGATCACAGAGTATAATTAGAGTGATACAAGTTACTGTTTGCTGAACGCGTATAACATGTTTCATGTGTTAATTATCAAAAGTCCCTTCCTTTATCAAATGAGGGAAATAAGACTCAGAAAGGTCAAATAACAACCACCACCACCACCACTTTTCTGTGATTCACACAGCTAATCAGTGAAGGGCTGGGATTTTAACTCAGTTCTACTGGACTTTGGAGCCCATGTTTGTTTCCAATCCTGCCCATATAATTTGAAGATAATAATGGCTGTTCTCACAGATATTTTTTTTTTTTTTCTCTGCCTCACTGATGTTTAAAGCACTGCAGATTTTTCTTTTGGTTCATAAGCTCACATCAATAGGATCCTATTCTTATGTATATATTAATCACAAACAAAAATGTATCATCTTTTCCACAGGGTACCAAAGTCTCTGGAATATATATCTCCCTTCTTAAATTGAGAAATATGCTTAAATATTACATATTTTTAAAAAATCTATATCTGATATTTAATTTTCAGTTTACTTCTGATTTTATTCCTCTGCAAAGCAGATTTCCTGCAGCTCATTCTTTCCTGCCAATGTGGGTTCTGCCCCGGCCCTCTACTAGGCTGCCCCCTAGAGGCTCTCTCTGCAGCTACTACCATTCCTTTCTTGATGAAACCCCTTCTTTGGCTTGGGTGGTATCTCTCTTTCCTAGTGAGTGTGCTCCCACATCTCCTTCTCAGACTTTACTTTCCCAATCTCTCCCTTACCTACTGATGTTTCTCTGAATTCTGTCTTCAGTTCTCCTCCATTCACACCAGGAACACTTGCTTTCAGTCAAATCTAGTTTTAACTACATCTATAAGCTGGCGATACTCAGCAATCTCCCGTGAGCTCCAGATCCATACATGTATCTGCCTCCTGAACATCTCTCAAAGACAATCTAAAATCGACGGTACAAAACTGTCTCCCAAACCTGCTTCTACTCCCCTAGTCTCAATCTTGCTGAATAGCATTCTTTCTACTCAGTTCTGCAGGCTAGAAAAGCTTGGCCTTTTCTTCTTCCATGGTCACAATTTATTTTTGCTATGTATGTGTATAGCAAGTTTCTCTATAGTGAAATAACAGAAGACGTTTCAGTTGCACTCACCTTGAGTGTTGCTGTTCAGCAGCAGCAGCAGCAGTTTCTGTGGTAGGTACTCCTTTGCAGCTTACCTTAAAGTCTTTTTCAGCCAGAGTCCTCATTAGGAAATGTAATTCAATGGATTCTACATACACGACTCACACTTCCCTCAATAATGATCAGTGACAAACTACTATAAAAGCCAGAACAACCAGCAGACGGGAACAATACAGAAGGAACCAGTTATTTTAATCTATGTAACCAAGTGTTAATACATGAGGGACAAAGTGGTCTCATTCTAAAGCTTTTTTTTCCTCCTAAAATATATAAAATTTACAAACATGTAAATCACTTCGGTCGATGAAGGTCTGGCTAGACCTGGGTCTTTTGTCCCCCACCCCACCTGTAACCAGCAATACACTCCTCTACATAAAGTTTTTGAGGGTACTAGACCTGCCACATGTGATTAAATAAATGTTTGCCCAACAAACAAACAGTGGGCACAGAAAGTTAGTGTGTGCTTAGTAGTTTAGGATAACTTCTTACTTTAGTATAACTGCTAGTTAGTTTGAAAGTGGGCTCACTTTGGTGACAAGACTCAAGATTTTTTATTGAGGAAAAGGAATTGCAGAAAATCTGGGTCTGGCAGTGCTCTATTTGGTAATGAACACCTGCTGTTCCTAAACAATCACTTAGGTCATTCATTCTCATTCTATAATTTCCCAGATGAAGAAGTTGAGGACTGCAAAGCTAAGAAACTAGCCCAAGTTCACACAGCTCAAAAGTACAAGGCCAGAAGAAGGGCCTTGGTCTCAAAGTGTCTAGGCAGGCCAGCGCTCTCCACTAGAAAACGATGCTTGCATGAAACTACCGCTTCTAAAGAGCACACAAAGTTTTTGGCCAGGGAAATGTGAAGAAACACTGAGATGAGCATATTTTAGAACATTGTTTCAGTATTACTGACTGATTAATTCTTCAGTAGAAGATGAATACCCATAGCTATTACATTAATAACTTGAGTTTAAGAGTTTCTCATTTCCCTGGAGGTTTCTTTCTTTATGAACTCTATGTCTGTCATCCATCTTATTTAATCATTTTAAGGTTACTTCTAAAATACTCATGTTTGGCATCTATATTTTTATCATAGTATTAATTCTTTTCTACTAACCCTTAATGAACATGGTCGAATTTGGTAAAGCACTGCAATGCCAAATCAGTGCATTTGGTTAGGGGAAGCTGCCAGAGATCCTTGCAGCTAAGGTAAAGTTTATAATTGCTCCTAGGAAATCCTTCACTTCATATGATTCTAGTCTTTTTCTTTATATTCTTTCTCACTCAGAGAATCAAATGTGCAAAGAAACCAACTACACAAAATTCACAGGAAGTTTATCATCAAAATCCTTCTTAATAAAACTAAGTATAAGAAATCTCTCATGTCCAGGACATAAGAGATTATGAAAGGAAATCAGTAGAAAAAAGAGCCACAAATAAACAACAGTCAAACAAATTAGCTGCATTATGTACATGGAAAATTTTAAGGGACAATTGAAATTACTCAAGTGGAAATCTAGCCTCTCTAAAATTCAATATCTAATACTAGACAGTTTATCTTTTCACAAAGAATTTCTGACTATATACATTTAATTTTTTATTTTACTTGAAACATTCTGACAAGCAACAGACAAACTGAAATTACAGAACAGTCAATTAATACATTGAGGGCACATAACACATACCAGAAATGAAGGCTCTGATAAAGTACAGTTAAAGTTTAGAAATGATAGGAGTTTAGAAATTAAAAATTACAGAAGACGAGACATTAAAGGTGTCATAACTTTTCAAGAGTAAAGAAAACAAATGTATAGAAAACTAAATTAATTTTAAAGTGTAATTTTTCTTCCCTAAAAAGTTTCTTACACGAATAACAATGATAGAGTAAATCTGTCAATATGAAAATTAGAAGGGACTGCAGTTATCACATCATCTCATTCATTTTACAGATGAGGAAACTGAGGCCCAATGAGTAGCTCTGCCTGAACCAAAAATACTTCAAGTTTTACACATTTCCAGATTATACATTTAAATTAATCACCCTTAGATATATTACAATCTGCCCAGATAGTAACTAAAAGAGATAACATTATTAGGATCTAAGCTCTGAACACAGCTGTCACTTTGTAGATTTTTGCAAAAAGAACACATAAAAGGTAAAAGACAACACTACTTCTTTAAAATATGAGTGCCTCAGCTGGGTTTTACAATACTATCCATTATTAGAAAATTATTCTATCCAGTAGGTAAACTGTAATCACAAACTTAAAAAAAAGTGCTAACATATTTATAAGAAATTAGAAGTTTTTATAGCCCTTAAGGATATGTGCCATTTAAAAATGGAATGATTTGAGTACACAAACAAAACACTCTTACAGTATGTTACTATTCCTAAAGCTGCCTTCAATAAATATATAATGTTAATACTCTGATATGACCTTTTAATATTTTCTAGTTATAGTTTTATTAATTTGGTGGGGAATACACCAAAATATTAGTTTGAGAGGCCAAAATTTACTGGTGCCTCCTATTGTCTTTGACTCCTTAACACAACTGCATCAGTTGCTTTTTTTACTACACATCAAATTATGACATAAAATCAATTTAGTAACATGTAATGACTGCCTGTTATATGCAAGGAATTTAAATTGTTTGGCTGGCCATAATCAGGTCAAATTTAAGATCTGTTATTTCAATTCCAAATAATGTGGTAATACATTATTCCAGAACTTTTTGGAACCTGGTGGCCCGTTTTCTAAAAGTTGTTTTGACTGCACTGGCATTTTGGTCCTTGGCTCTTTCCCCTTTCCCTGTGTGTTAGTAATTGACTTTTTGTGATATGTTTTATGTTTGCCATATTTCACAGATCCTTTTATTTTGCTCACTTTTGTGTACCCTTCTCCTTCAACCTGCCTTTCATTCTCTTCTTCACCTGTCTCATGGTAGTTCCCCTCCTCTTCCTCCTCTTCTCTGTTCCTGTTTTCTTGTTCTCCTTCCTTTTCCCTTTCTTCCCCTTCTTCTCCTTCCTCTTCCTCTCCTTCCCCCTCTCCTTCCTCCCCTTCTTCCTCCTCCTCTCCTTCTTCCTCCCCCTCTCCTTCTTCCCCCTCCTCCTCTTCCCCCTCTCCTTCCTCTCCTCCTTCCTCCTCTTCCCCTTCTCCTTCCTCCCCTCCTTCTCTTTCCTCCTCCTCCCCCTCCACTTTCCCTTCTCCTTCTTCCTCTTCCCCCTCTGCTTCCCCTTCTTCTTCCTCCCCTTCCTCCTCACCTTCCCCTTCTCCTTCCTCCACTTCCTCACCCTCCCCTTCTCCTTCCTCCCCTTCATCCTCCCCTTTCCCTTCTTCCTCCCCTTCCTCACCTTCCCCTTCTCCTTCCTCACCTTCATCCTCCCCTTCCTCTTCCTCCCCTTCCTCCTCACCTTCCTCTTCTCCTTCCTCCCCTTCATCCTCCCCTTCCCCTTCCTCCCCTTCCTCCTCACCTTCCCCTTCTCCTTCCTCCTCACCTTCCCCTTCTCCTTCCT